CGAGCAAAGTTTGTCGTACCCGCCGCCTACTCCACCGAAAGAGCAACTGGTAGAGTTTTTTTAAGCCTATCGATAATAAATCATCAAATCATTTATTTGTTCAACCCACACGTTTTTAATCGTTGGCCTTACCTCTGGATTCTCCACCCAACGAGAGTCAAATATAAATAAAGACCAAGCCAAACGAGTAAACGATTTATTGGTCACTATCAGTGCCTTGTGACCCGACCAAAGGTGGGTACAAGTACAATAATGGACACGCGTTTCTGGAAAACACTCCATCCATTTCTCCAGGGCTAATGTTCAATCCTGTCTTTCTTGCTATGAGTGAAAATCGGTACGGTATCGGTATCCCGATACCGAAATCCTGAATACAAAATAGTGCCTTAAATTCAACCACAATCACAATTTCAATCCCAAAATATATTCGGTATCCCAATCCCAATCCGTAATTATTTTTTGGTATCGTTATATACCAAATACCAAATTAATTCCCTTCAAAATCATAAATCAAATAGACAAACCCAAATACTTCTTCTTTGCTAGTCGCTCCACAAACCATTTTTAAAATATATAAAAACAAACAATGGTGCGAACATTCGTGTAAAACAAATGGGAGAAAATCTCAAGTATAATAATAACAAACTAGAAAAATGTGGTGTCTAAAAAGCATATTAACAAACTAAAACAACAAATTGAAACATGAGAGAGACGACTAATGAACTCGTAGACATACTACGGCTTTGTTTGCTTGATGGATTTAGGAGTAACATAAACCCAAAAAGGGTCCCTCTATCTCCTAAAACTTTTCTCTAACTTCTCTCTAACAAACTCTCTTCAGGCAGCTGTGGGGTTGTTGTCGGCACCCTTCCGGTGACCGGCGGCAGCCCTCCGCCCTCATTCTTCCAGTCTTCTTGTGATCTTCCTATCGGTTGCCCTCCATCTTTTGCTTTTCTTTGTTTCCTCTGTGGCCTGCTTTGTTTCTCCTCCATTCTTTTTTCTTTCCTTTTCCAGCCTTTGTTTGGCTTTTCTTCTCCATATATCGATTGTTCTTGCCCTTTGGTAAGGTTTCCTTCCTCCCCCTTGTGTGAGTCGAGCTTTTGCCCTCTGATCTGTTTTTTCAGATCTGGAGATGAATATGATGTAAGAGCAAAGGAGGCTAGATCTACACTTGATCTAGCTGGTTTTCTCCTCTTCCTCCTTCTGTCTACCTCCTTACTTCATCTTGCAGGTCTTGATGTTTCAGAGATGTGGCCTCTTTGGCCGGGACTCGGGTGGTAAGCTTTAAAGACCGAAGATTCTGCCCTCTTACTTCATCATCGTCCGTCCGGTTGTTCGATTGTTTCTCTTGGGTCTCGATCTGTGAGTTGCTGTCAGCGATTGGCTCGGGGAGGGGGTTTTTGGGTGGAGGTTTTCCTCGTTCTCCTCCCTCCATTGGAGTCTGGATGTTTGGTTGAGTTGGCTGGTGGGAGCGGCGGCCCTTCACTCTTCCAACGGCAGCGGTGGAGTTCAGAGGGACAATAGGGTTGTTAGGGTTTGGGTGGGTTGATTCTATGTTTGGGCTACTCATTTGGGCCCTATTGGGTTCTGGATTTTCGGGTGGGCCTTTTGGAATCAACTTGTTGTAAATCTAAGTGGTCTATTGTAATCTTTTCCTCTGGGCTTGGGCCCATTTGCTCTTAATGAAACCAATCTTTCAAAAAAAATGATGGATTTATGAGGGATAAATCGGGGTCCATGGACTTTGAGGGACCAAATCTGTGGACCCCACAGACTTGAAAATTCCACCTCAAGAGGTGGGATTTGTGCTTGGGTACAAAGTCCATGATGACTCTTTACCATTTTATCCCCACTTATTTTACTAATGACCAACTTGTCCTCTTTCATTTGCATTATGGAAGGTTGTCAACCTTTGCAAAGGCAATCAAGCCTATTATTAAGGAGAGGTGAAGGATGGATTAAAAATATATTAACATGCGATCATATTGAATTCTGACGCAATACATGTTTATACGATTTTCAATCGCCCAATTTTTAGATAAGTTGGTGCCCGAGATTGTTTCCAAACCATTTCAACTCTGTCTTTAGAATTAGAGTTTTTTTGTTGTCCCTAAGACGTCTCCCACTTTTAGCCCGTTGACAGAAGAATGGGCAGCTCATCCAAGGACGATTCCGACAGCGACGACGAGGCTTCCAGCGGCGACACTCTGCCTCCTGACTCCACCCGCTTCACCGAAGGAGAGCGCGTCCTCGCCTACCATGGTCCTCGAATCTATGAAGCCAAGGCATCTCTTTCTCCTCCCTAAGTTCTGGATCTATTCAACTTCCTAAGCTCGGTTTGTACTAGCGGCTAGACCTAGAATCTTCCTCGATCGCGCAAGATCCAATCATGCTTCCTCTTTTTCTTCCCCTGATTCTTCTTTATTTTCGAATTTAGATTATGTCTGTTTGACTACAGTTGTGGCCGATACCGCCACCGAGAATAAATAAGACAATTTCTCGGCACCTAATCATATTATACCAGCGTTAGTCGCTGTGGTCGAGGTGATTTCCCTCTGGTTACGGCGCTTGTCGCCGGATTGCCTCGTTGCCGTCGCGGCATGGCTGCTCTTCTTTGTCATCTAGATGACATGTTTGCGGTCAGTGGGTGGGACTATTATTGATAATTATACATCTCAGGTAAGGATTGTCTACAATCCTTAGGAGCTAATCTTAGAGAATGGTCTTTCTTGACACATTTTCTCAAGGTTGTCTTCTTGTTTTGGAGCTCTACCCTCTCTTCTCACCGGAGTTTTGGTCCTCGAATGGTGTAGATAGTGGCTGTCCGGCTGGGAATTGTTTGTGAGCAGTAAAGCTTCTTGGAATCAGTAGGCTTTCCCGTTGTGGCAGGAAATCACTGGTCAGTGTCAACCGCTATGAACCGTTACACTTCCCCTCTATCCTATTTACTCTCCTTAATTAGCCATAACTACTCGTTAATGTTCAAACATGGACGGAGCTTTGCTCAATAACGGCAGGTGCCATTAAGGCCAGCTATTGGCCATTAATACATTTTGAATCCAAATTTAATGGGCTAATTAGAGGCAAATCAATTCGAGCATTTATTGAAAGCTTTGTGGTTTTAGACTTTTAAGTCCCATTTTTATTGCCAATAATTCATTTCATTAATGGTATTAATCGCTTGTTCTACGATTTCAAACGATGAAGTCTTCCTTAGTGCATCAATTATGATTTCTTATTTCTTTAGAAATAGTCAAATAGGGCTATCACCTGGCTCATGAATTAGCTTGGCCCTCAAATAAAAAACAGATAGTCGAGAAAGCATTAAACAATTATTCTTCATATGCCCCCTAGCCACCAGATTGTGGACTTTAGTGGGATTGAGAAACTTTATCGAGACCGCCGCGACTGTTAACTTTAGTCTATGGTGGCGACATGTCATGGTCTCTGAGACCTCCCCATTCCACATTCTCCAATGCGCCTGCTTACTTTGGAGAATCTGGAAGTCTAGAAATAAAGTGATTTTTGAATTTTACCAACCTCATGTTCGTTCCCTAGCCAGACATTTCTACAACCAGGTCCTTGATATCTCAAACACTCTCCTCCCTCCCCAACCCCACAACTCTCTTCCCAAACCATCCAACCACCTCATGGGTCCCGCCGCCAGACGATTGCTTAAAGATCAATTTCGACGCTGTTGTTTGTGCCACCGGGTGTTCGTCTGGACTTGTTGTCCTGGGGTCAGACGGACATGTGGTGTTGGCGTTCCCGGGAAGGCTTCATAGAAGACTCGATTGGTGGTCCGGTGCTACGAGAGTGTCGTCAGATCCTTAGCTCTTTGTCCATTTGTATAGAGTTTAGGGCGTTACCTAGAACTGCCAACAGTGCTACCCATAGAGTGGCGCGTAAAGCACTGCTTTTGTCTCGTCTAGAGCTAGAATCTTTTGATTTTTTCGGGGTGGCTTCATTAGAATATATTGTAAGGGGTCCTGGGTAGATTTGTATGAATAACTATTGTCCTCTATTGATATCACTCAGAAATAAATAAAAAACTTGTCCTCTTTCATTTACCGGTGACCAACTTGTTTGTGCCTAATAATTTTGTATTCAATCTTCATTATCATTCATTACACGAAAGCGGTTGGAAAGTACACTACATGATTAATTCCAAAGATACTATGCAACATTGAAAACCTTAGGAAATTGTATAATGACATATAACAATGTGAAGTTATTGGTGATTAATTAATGAATTTCATTGTTGATTATAATGTTCATTTATTCCAATTTGGGTAATGTGACGAGGCTATGGGATGAAATTGGTTTATAGCAAAACTTTGTAAAAATAAATAATGATCAATAAGGGTACTACAGTAAATTTCTAATATAACAAAAAATATAACTATGTCAAATCCATCATTAAATCCAACAAACAAACGATGGTTTTGACCAAAAACCATATGGAGCAATTCCATCATATAGTCATGGTTTTACAAATTCAGGTTTTAAGCAAAACCTTCATTTTTCAAATTCGCGAAGCAAACGACCCTTACAAGTAATAAAATGAGCTTGATATGAGTTTTCAAATAGCAAGGAAATGAGCTATGTGTAATTAAATGACCATCTTAGTAGTTGAGGGGTTGGTAGAAGTGAGTGAGAGAGCCTGGTAGGGAGTAATAAAATACACACTAGCTTATACTGCGGTATTGATCGGTATTTTGGTACATTGATCTCAATTCCTAATACTAAATAATACGTGTATTCGATAATACCAAATATCTAATAATTCAATATGATATTGAATATATCTCTAATACTCTTACCAAGCTTCCAGCACTATTTCCTGCCACAACAATATATCTGAGCATGTATTGCAATTTTCTTTTAATTGTATTGTAAACTTTCAATATCACATAAACAAATAGAAACATAATTGACCTCCTTTTTTCAAACCGGAACCGATATCAAACGCGGCCTTCAGAAAAGTAGAACACGTTGAAGCCGAACAGCCAGTAATCTACGCTACCCGAAAGACAGCCTTCATTTGTTACTGTACTCGAGGAGGCGGGCCGTAGCGCGTGATTCTGAAGCCGAGGAATCCGATTTCATCGGCAAATGATCAGAGTCCAAGCCAGTCTGTTCGGAATCCTCAGCGCACGACTAAAAATCAGCAACTTTCTCCAATTCCCTTCTTGAGCTGGGGGCGACCTCATATTCCCATCCACCTTCGCTCCTCCTACTTCTCCGTCGCCAATCGCACACCAAAAATGGAGGAACCCCACATCGAGAGGATGGCGGCTCCACCGGTGAGGAAGGGATCGCTGATTATGCAGCCGATACATTGGTTCAGAATGTTAGGTGAGGAACTCCATTGGAGTCTCGTGATGGGGGTTATCGTGGTTTATGGGATTAGTCAGGGTTTTGGAGTTGGGCTCGTCCGAGTTAGTACACAGTACTACATGAAGGATGATCAAAAGCTACTACCCTCTGAAGCTCAGCTCTTTTTTGGCCTCCTTCAGCTACCTTGGATAGTCAAGCCTTTGTGGGGTCTCCTCACTGATACTCTCCCTGTTCTTGGCTACCGCAGGCGCCCCTATTTCATTTTCGCAGGTCAAAACCCATGTTTTCCCCAATTCAATTATGTACTTTTCGTCTTCTTTAGCTGCCAAATTGAGCTGTTAACAATGTTGAGTATGTAAAGAAGGCTTGTTGAGAAGGATTGATTGAAAATTGAAATTCAATTTCAGGTTGTTTTACTGCTATATCAATGCTGGCGGTGTCACTGCAGCCACACTTGTCGCTTGGATATGCCATGCTTTTTCTGATGTCAGGAAGTACTGGGATGGCGATTTCGGATGTTACTATTGATGCCTGTGTAACGCAGAACAGTGTAACTCACCCAGCTCTTGCTGGTGATATGCAAAGCTTGTGTGGGCTCTCTGCCTCTATCGGGTCTCTGGTCGGCTTCTCACTCAGTGGCTTCCTGGTTCACCTGGTTGGACCTACGGTCAGTTTCTTACAAACCTTGTGTCGGTTACTGTCTAGGTCGATTGCCAAATTTAGCAACTTTAGGGCTAAGGAATTTAGTTACTCAACAAGATCCATGCTATTGCTTATTGTGCTATTCGAGACTTGTTTGGCTTGTGTGTGTGCATAAGCTTTTGGGTTGTGCTTAACATAATGCCATTAACAATCACAATTAGGAAGGTGCAAGCGACACCTTAAAGTTTGATTAAGTGGCATAATTTAGAGTATGACCGTAACGTTCCCTTAGTCCAGAGGTATAGCCACTGAATGTTGCATTCAAGGTACTTGGGCAGATTAGAAAGAATTGTATGCTGTTTTGCTTGTCACTCAAGCACTAATGTGCTTCAAGTGATGCTTTCTCTTTTATAGCTTCTATAGAAACCATCGTTATGCTTTAAAATGTTTTACACCTTAAGTTGTTTGGAATTAGATTGTTTGCGCTTGATGAAGGAAGTGTAACTATAAACTTATTGTTTCTCAACTGACATGCTCTTCCTGACAGGGTGTGTTTGGGTTTCTGAGTTTTCCAGCAGGCCTAGTCGTTTTGGTTGGGATGTTGTTACGCGAAGGCAATTTACAGCGATCTGTTCACAGAGGGGTAATACTGTTATGTCTGATTTATTCCCTTCTTTGGCTCCTAAAATCTATTATTGCACTATTGTACACTTACTGAAGAAACCATTACTCAGGTACATGAGAAGTTCGTGGATGCTGGTAAAGCAATGTGGAGAACACTAAAATGTCGAGAAGTGTGGAGACCATGCTTATTTATGTTCTTATCCATCTGTGTTAGCTTACATGTCCATGAAGGAATGTTTTACTGGTATACTGATGCAGAGGGAGGTCCATCTTTCTCACAGGTACCTTCATATTTTATCAATTACGTTGTAATCTGCTTCCAGTTTATCAACTAACCAACTTCTCAATCAAATACACTCATAGTATGTATAAGTCTTCATATATGGTGCACAGCAGGGTAAACTTATCCTCTTTCATACTTCCTGCAGGAAATTGTTGGATCAATATTCTCATTTGGTGCAATTGGCTCTCTCTCAGGGGTCCTAATCTACCAAAATTTTCTGAAGAACCATCCCCTTCGCGACATAGTTTTTTGGTCTCAGCTATTATTCAGTCTATCTGGGTTGCTCGACTTGATGTTGGTTCTTCGTATTAACTTGAAAATCGGTTTCCCTGATTATTTCTTTGTTGTAATCGATGAAGCTGTTTCTCGTATGATTGGGAGGGTCAAGTGGATGCCTCTTCTTGTACTTAGTTCCAAGCTTTGCCCTCCTGGTATAGAGGGCACCTTCTTTGCACTTCTCATGTCAATTGATCATATCGGTCTTCTCTTCTCTACATGGCTAGGAGGTCTACTCTTGCATATGTTGAATGTCACCAGGACACAGTTTGACAACCTTTGGTTTGCCCTTTTGATCCGAAGCATGATGAGGCTGCTCCCTGTTGCTCTATTATTCCTTATCCCGAGGGCTGATCCCAATTTGTCAGTTCTTCCGGCAGAGATGTTGAAGATGAAAAAGGGTGATGATGACCAGAAGAATACTGAGATGGCTTCCCTTATTGATGGCAGTTGAAGTAGGGAAGAATACTGACTCATTTGCTTAGAGATCACAGTTAATGCAGGCCCCTTTACAATGCCAGGGACCCCCAGACATTAAAGCTGGAACCCTCTGGTATGACCCAAAACACCTTTTCTCGGCATCTTCCAGTGTGATACATGATCAATCGACTTGGGGAATGACATGGTTTTATCATATATTCTGTATTCCAAATTGTTGTTGCCATAGTAGGGAGAATGTCCAGTATAGAGTTCAACTGCATTAGTCAATATAGAATCTGCGAATCCTGCACAATTCCTTGGAACCTGATTTTTTGGTTCCTGTTGTAAGTTGTATAACTTTTGGATTCCAGATCACTACTGCTCATGTACTGAGCAATATATATACACTTGACACCAGTAGAAACATGGAAGTTACTATTTTGTCTTCCAGATTTACTACTGCTCTTGTACTGAGCTATCACATATTGACCGCTTACATGGAAGGCATGAAACAGACCGCGCGAAAGAGGGGAAAGAAGCAAGTTGCTTAATGAATTTCTCTGCCAGTTGAAGCAAACTAATTGGCATTGTATTTTAGAAGAAGAACTAAATGCATATTGATATTCACAAACCCACACGGCCACACCCCACTCTTGACATCTCACGTAACCAATAAATATTCTAAAGCATTTTCTCTCTCTCGCATCAGCTGAAACTGCAAGCTTCTGCTGCAAATCCCACCATTGACTCTTTTGTATCATAAACAACCCTCTGGTTTCTCTGCTGATAGTTCCCCACTATCCCAATCTCATACTCATAGGCAAGACTAGCCATCGCCAGACACACCTGAGATGCGTCCGCCTTGACAAAGTAGAAAACCCCTGTCAAGTCAACTTCCAGCTTCACATTCCCTTCAAAGTTCATGCTAATGGTAGGGACATCAATCTCCTGATACCCTGTCAGGTTGAAGCAAGTGTCCAGGATCGAAAAGCCCGGAGCAGTTGGAACACCAGAGAATTGCCTCAGAAACTCTGCCTTCACAGCACTGTAAACTGAAGGAGGAAGCCTTGTTATGACTGTTCCAGAATCAATCAGAATCCCAGATCCGAATCCGGAACCCTGATGGAGATCCTTTCCGCCTATGGACAACCCAGTAAGGTTGAGGAAGTAGAAAGTTGGGAGCTGGGGATTATTGACCATTCTGGTATAAGAAATTGGTGTGAAGTTGCTGTAAACTGAAGTATTGGGACCAAATGCTAATGAGCCAGTAGCATCAGGTGCTGTTGTTGGCAAGCAGTAGGAGAAAACACCACTGTACATGGATTCAGATTGAGAGACCAACGAAAGCTGGCTCCTTCCCATCCCCATTAAACCTGAAGCTCCTCCAAACAAGCCCTTATTGTTCCTTCCACAACCAAACACGAAATTACTGACTGGTTCAGTTTCACCTCCTAATTTAAGCTGTTCAGTGGCTAGATCCCCTCTTGTGTAGGAGCCGTCCCCATAGCTAACGTAATAGTTGCAGGTTTGCTGGTTGCTGCCACATGCGCCCGAGTTGCCAGTTGCAAACTGAAGTGAGTCGCAAGCTGATGAATTGCAGGTGATTCTGCGGAAAGAAGGAGAGATGGAAGGATTGAAGAGAGGGTCCTTTTGGTTGTAACAGAACCTGCACGGCTGGCACTGAACCCATGTCAAGTCACTTCCAGTGTCCATTATCACTGTAAGCTGCTTCCCTCCTAGTTGTACTGTGACTATGTAGTTGAGGGTTTGCAGCTTTATTCCTGAAGCCAATGGGATTTGAGTTGTTGTTGACATCGCAGTGTCTTGTTTCACAAGAGAGGTGGTGTTTTTTATCCGAGACTGAATTGATTGGACTCTGATATTGTCTAGTATTAGGGTTCTTTTTAGCTTCTTGCTCAAGTCTTGGATTGTGGGTGGCTTTCCTGATGATGAGCAGGAATCTCTGCGCTTCATTTCCAGGATGGTTGCTCCCTTTTCCTGTCCTGGAAACAAAGAAAGTATTTTTTGAAAGGCTTGAGTAACAGAAACTGGAGATCCCAAAGTTGGGGAACAGAATACTAATTGGAGAATCTTTTTTCTTAAAAAAGGTAAAGCATATTGTTCAAAGAGAGGGAAAAGAATACGATAAAAAGGAGAGTTAAGGTATAAAGTGATGTCTAATCATCACCATTAATGAATGAAGTAATCATTTTTTCTCTTTACAGAGGGAAAAAGAACAGAACTCTTACTTGATTTCTGGGGAAGGCATGAGCTTGAAGAAGAAGAAGCAGCAGCAGAAGCAGAATCATGGAAGCTGATCTTCATTAGCAGCTGCTTCCACTGGTTGTGCTCTTCCAACAGGTTGACGAGAGGAACTCTCTTCCCCACGAAAACACCACCATTGCTAGAGCTGAAGCTTGGCAGCAGACAGACGAGAAACAGCAGCAGCTTGATGATGGTAATGAGAGAAGACATAATTCTTGTTTCCACCATTGATGTATGAATACTGAAACTATATATAGTATACTTGATACCACCACACCAGCAAGCAAGTGGAAGAGAAGGAAAAGAAAACAAAATGTGGTGCTTGGAGTAGTGGTGAAGGAGAGAGAGAGGGGGGAAGGGAGATTCTTGGGTGAGTTGTAGTTAGGGAAGAGAACAAAAGAAAAAATGGCTGGCTGAACATTTTATGAAAACGACCCCACTGGCTATAGCTGATCTCTAAGTAAGCAGTAGTAGTGACTAGTGAGTGCAGCCTGCTTGTGGTGTAGTGCATGAGCTTAAAATTATTGAGTGGGGGGATGGATTGGATGCAAAGCTGCTGTCACTAGGCATTCACGTGCAATTACTTGAGCAAAATAAACAAACAAACAGAGGACAAGCCTGCTGCCATGAACTATATGGAAATTTGAAATGATTAACATTATAATTAGTTCATCCACTTGTATTAGATTTTTTGTCCAAATTGATAAGTAAAAACATCATTTACCCTTTTACATGTATCAACTCATCTTTGGTCGAATTAACCTCATTATCCGGTCAAATTCAGACGAGATTATCTGATACACATCCGTCCAAAATTTTGGTGAAACACTTGCAAATTTTATTTGTATGCATCTCATTAGTTGCTTTTGATAAAAGAAAGTTGATTTGATGAGTCTTACTGAGTTTTATTCTAGGGAGTTCACTTCCTCTATGTTCACACGGTTTGATCAACAATTGATGTGCTACATTTCTCATGTCAAGCACAGTGAGACTTTGGTCGAATTGCAAGCAACCTATGAGCTAGTTAGGCGAATCGTGGATACATGAAGGATAGTTAAGGCATTTGGTCTACTTGATTATGAAGTTATTGTTGATTTTATTTGTTGCAATGACAACTTGTGAAAGAGCCCATGCAAGTATGAAGTTCATAAGACAAGGGTATTCATAATCGAATAAGTGACCCATTCCTGGATGAGTGTTTGATTGCATTATCTATAATAAAAAAACTTAAATTTCAAAATTAAGTGATAAATCTAATTGACAGAACTTTCAAACTATGAAAAAACTTCTTGACTTATTGTGAAAAGAGTTGCAATTAAGTATTTTATTAAAAAAAAAATTCAAAGTCAAGAGTTATAAAGTCAATCATACAGATAAAATAAGAAAAGTGGGGGAGTCGACCAATAGCCGAACTCCCGATGAGAGGGTCTTTGTGTCACATGATGGGAAACCCTATTTAGTCGACGAGAAACTAAACAGTAAGACACCCAGCTAAAGTGAGAAGCCAAACTCCGAGCATTCTCCAATATAGCTCCACCCCAATCATGAGACAAGTCATGAAATTTGGGTCAATCACCGAAAATCACCAAAATCTTTCTCCTCTTACTCAGTCATTCTTTTTTACCCCTAACCTGCATAGCTTTACGCGCAAATTCATCAAAGTTAAGGTGCTCCTCAACTTCTCCAAGTCGTTATGTTCTCAGATCATGGCGGCTAATGAAGAAACTGGCAGCTTCTAGATAAGCTTAAAATACGAGCACTTACCAAGTTTTTGTTTTCACTGGGGGCGAGTAGGTCACTCCCGTTAGACTTGTATTTTTGACCCTTGTGCTGGAAAAGAAAGGTTTGGACCGCATATGCTGACTAAAAAGATGGGACGGAAAATTTACGGCGATGATGAGGACACTAGACCCTATCCTCCTCGCTCGGTTTGGATAAATAAGGAGCATAGGGATCCAGTGGAAAATGAACGCCTACCGAACTTCCGCGTTGCCACTGAATCACGAGGTGGGCCTCGTTCAGGGAAGCAACCTGCTGCGACGTTGGTGGCTCGGCCTGCCTTGGAAACCAGCCCACTCTGGATGGGTACATCCAATAACCCGTTCATGGAAGTGGAGTCGACATGCCACCAAGGGAGGACCAAGGCCCCGAAAATTGCTCTTGGTGGCCATGGCCGAAAAGCCCATCTGCAACAGGAGCATGACTCTCATTTTCCCATGATGGTACGTAAAAATGCAAAAGAAGCGCGGGGGCGCAATTCACGACGGGGACTGGTTTTCAATAAATGGAATATTGAAAAGTAACATTTTTCGGATAGTTCGGGTGTTGTAGTGGTATTAGCCCTAAAAAAGAAAAGAAAAATTGTTTCAGTTCCATCTTTTCGTGCTAGGGGTGTTCAAACGGATTGGTTACCGTGGTAACCATATTAACCAAGAGTATTCAGTTAATTTGGTTTGGTTAATTTGGATAATTGGTTTGGTTTGGTTAAACAATTTAGCTTATTTGGTTTAGGTGGTTTGGTTTGGTTTAGACACTGCTAACCAATGAAACCAATTAACCAATTAATGATACACCTAATATACAAAATTATTTATACTTCCATGCAACCAACCAACCCAAACTTTCGTGATTCCCTATTTTATTGCCTTGTGCACAACAAACCAAAGCATTATGGGTCAAAAATTAAATGGGCATGCCTATTTACTAAACCAAAACATTTTGGATAGCTACTAGACTTTAGGATTACGTACAATACCATGACAGACACCTCAAACTATGTATAGTTTAAGTGCTTTGTAGGAGATGTTTAACTTCCTGATGAGTGGTATTGGTATGTATTTAATACTTATGTTAAGGGTTTGTTGTAAGCTAACTATATTAGGTGCAAAGATGATGAATGATGTATTAACTCGAATGATGATAATCATGGTTAGTCTTATAATTATTGCTTATATATAATGATATTTTATGATAGTAATCACATATGGTTATGTTTTATTTATTAACAAGATAATTGTTTTCGTGTAATGTTATGTTATTTGGTTAATCCGATTATCCGATTAACCAAACCAATTAAACTTTGGTTTGGTTAATTTGGTTTTCGTGTTAATTTAAAATTTAGGCTTAATTGGTTATGATAGTAATCACATATGGTTAAGACATTTTATTTCATGGTTAATGAAATTTAGACTTAATTGGTTTGGTCATTACCACGGTAATCATTTGTTTGATTAGATCACATCTAATGGACGCATTACATCGTCCAAACCTCCCCATCTGATCAAGAAACGCACCTAGTTGGGAATCACCATATCATTGTTAATTATTATTTCATTACCTAAAACTCTCATCAATAGATATCCCATTTGGCGTCCAAACTCCAACCCAACGAAACTATAAATAAAGAGGTGGTTGGGTAAATTCAATCTCACCACATCCCAATCACAAACCTGAAAGCTTCTTAATCTACAATTAATTAAGTACTGCTTTCAGGTTCAAACTTTGAGGCAATCAATAGACTGATTAATCGAGGAAATTAAGGCAATATGGCGAAGACACAAAGTCTGTTGATTGCCTTTATCTGGGTTCTGGCCGTGGCCTCCATTATCATGTCTGTCGCTGCCATTCGCCCCAGTAGTACTACTGCAGCCATTTCCAGTAGCAGCTCACAGACGCATAATGTTCAGCCTCAATGGCACGGCCATCATTGGGGTCACCACCACGGCCACGGTGGTGGTAAGTATCATTACTGTCACATAATATATCTCTTTCGTTTTAATTCGTTTTAAATTATAAGATTCTCCTTTTGTTTCTAATTAATCAATGAATAGTAGTACTCTTTCTTGTCTGGGACGGCTGAGTTTGATATGTTCTTTCTTTTGTATGCTCGATTTTTTTCAAGAACATGAGCGGAAGTTGTGAATGAACCCGCCATATCGATGAAGCTAGCGGGATGTGGTGACTACTATCTATCCTCAAAGTGATGTTGAAGAAGTGTTCTACCAAATCAATGTCTGCCAATGTTACACGATAATGATAATGTCGTCTTAAAGAGATTATTATGTATCCACTTTATTTAATAGCATTTTATATATGATTTCCGGTTCCAAATTCTTACTATGAAATTATCACATTAATAAAAGTTAAATATTTGTGTCACTAGTACTGTTTCCTTTCAAGCAATGCAGATCACTTGAAAAACAGTAGTGCTTTGGTTAACAAGCCAGCAAAGCTACAAATGAAGGCGGTGTTCAAGGGGATCTGTCCTCCATCGTTTATTGCCTTGTCAAGTACACTCAGAATTTTAAAGAACGAAACATAATTCCTCTTTTCCCTAAATATGAAAAACTAACTTAAGATTTGAAGTTTGTACAGGTTCAAATATTATGTGATTAAATTGGTGGTCGATAGAATTCGAAGACAAGATTTCTCGATTATCAAAAACTCTAATGTCATGTAAAAATTCAATTGATTCGAATAATTCAAATTGTTGTGAAATGTTCAATTGTAAATTTTATATCATTTACTAACATAACCAATCCTCCACATCTCATTCATCATCTCGTCCATTGCCTAGTTCTTTTCAATTAGAAATTCACTGTGATTAAATCTGTCTTGGAATCACATAAAAGCATGCACACATTGGCGGAACCCCTTGAGGTCAAAATAGGTCATTTGCATCACCTTAACCAAAAAAGTAGTAAATTTTTTATGTGATTCATGTAGATTGGTCGAATACAAAATTTCCTTATTATTGTAAATAACTTTATATAAAAGCAATATTTTTTTATTTCTATATAACTTTTACTTCATATATTTTGTAACTCATACTAATATAAACAAAAACTCAAAACTTAGGAGGCATTTGTTGCTAACCGTTGTCATTGCTTGTGTTGAAAGAGCAGTTGATGCAATGAACAAAGTGAAGAACCACTTCAAAATCATAAGAGTAATGAAATTATTAATGATTTTTCGGGTGGGATATCTTAACATCTTTCATTATTTGCGTTATGAATGTATTTTAAAAGTTTCTCAGAATATGACACATTTTGGACTTATGTGAGCAAGTGTAAAGATTGTCGTGAATTTGGTAGGAAAGAAACATATTAAAGATGTGAATGAATCACTCATTTTAGAGTGTATTTTTGCCCCTACTACGATCTCTGGTAGGATTAGGCAAACCACTCCAGGAGTCCCTTCAACAGAAATATGAAGTAGTGACTTGCCGATTTAAGTGTTTGTGATACAGAAAAGGAAAACAGGAAAAAGAAGAAGATGAACGTTGGAGAAGAATTCTAAAAGAATTCTAACAACAAATAACTAATATATGTGTTGTGAATTGATAATCCAAAGTAAAATTCCTAACAGCCATGGCACATGTATCATGGTATATATATGCATGCAACTTGCAAATATACTTGCCTGCGTTTCCTGTTTCCTCACTTGCTCTGTCTTTCATTTCCTCCCCCTTGGCCGCCTGAATGAATCTCATAACCGGCAACAATTACGAAGCAAGTATCATGACTTACAGGGAAGGGAAGGGAAGTGGCTAGTTAATAGGCTGTGGTGCAGACACTCACAAGTTAACAGCGGCGGATCCAGGACATAGTAGAGCACTGGGCCGCATTTGAATAGAAAATTAGAAACCGTTAAAAAAATAATAGCTCTAATTTTCATTACAATGTCAATTGTACATGACGATCTTTTAATTTAGCGAATTCATAAAATAATTGAATCTTCATCCATAACAATAACATACTCTTTCTCAAAGAAAATAGTTATGCAATCCGCGGGAAATTCATCGCTCATTTTGTTGCTTAAATAAGTTTCACATGTTTCATTGATGAAATCCGTAGTAGCCGTTGAAACAAGCTAGGTTAACACTAGACGAATCAACTGACAAATCAATGTGTAGTGTGTATCCATTCTTGTTTCCACCAACTTCTCTAGTAATTTTGCAAGAGAAGAAACTTCATATTCCTGGCTATGAACCACATGAGCGGTATAATATCGTAGATCATTCTTCAAAGAATGCATCTAATAGCCTTCAAAGTCTCGAGGATAAACTCTTGAGCTAGTTTGTTAAGATTTTCTTCATAAAAAAACAGAAATAAATTTTATGATCTAGTAAACCTCTCAACTGAAGCAATTTAAATGATGACTCAACAAGTTTGTTAATATTTTCTTCATCAAAAAACTCGAAAGAAAATTAGCTCCTGACGAACTAGCGAAGGAATCCGTTTCGGGTTCGTTCGTCTCATCGTTCAATTTTTTTTTTTTTGGATTGGAGGAATTTTTTGAGTTTTGACAGAGAAGTTTGAGGTTTAGTTTAGAGGTTTTTATTTCAATGAAACTTTATACTTTTAGTCTTTTACGAGTAAGACTTTTAAGTTTCATTGTTCATTTTATTCTTTTCAAATGAAAATTATTTGGGCTAGAATTTTTAGTCTAAATTGAGAGTAGTGATTTGGATATGTTCATTTATACTATTTTTCAAGTTACACAAAATCCTATTATCAAATAATATTGGACCGAATTTAAATAGCACTAGCCTAATATCGAAAAATTCATGCGTACTATACCAATTCGGAACCGCAAGAGGGCTGGGCCGGGGCCCGGGGTGGCCCAGCCCTAGATCCGCCACTGCAAGTTAAATTATAGTTAAAAATAACATGTAGAATTATTGTTTGTGAAATTAAGGGTTCTCTAAACTATGGACGTAACCTTTCAAAATCGAGATGTGATCCAATATTTTTAATCATGTATTCTTTACTTAAAATGTAATATCATTTGTCTATATATATAAACCTAAATCCGCTCTACTGATCATTAAGGATTTTAACTTAATAAATAAAATAATATTATTATTAAAATGTGCTCTTTATTTGGGTTGTGTATGGATTCAGTTTATTTGGGCTGTACGTATATGAGTTTTCTCCCACTTTAGTTGGCCCGTATCAGTTTGTCTAAAAGCAATAATAAGCTGTGTGCATCACTAATTAAATTCTACGTGCACTTGCATCATCCGGACTATAGGTGTCAATTGGAGGGTTCGGGCTGGGTTCAATCGGGTTAGGATTCAAACGGGTTGCGGGTTAGTCGGGTTGCGGGTTCATCGGATTCGGGTTCAAATGGGTTGCGGGTTAGTCGGGTTGCGGGTTCATCGGGTTCGGATTCAATCGGGTTGCGGGCAAATCGGGTTGCAGGTTCATCGGGTTTTGGGTCGGGCGGGTTGCGGGCGGGTCGGGTTTCGGGTTGTTCGGGCCAGCGCATCAAGTAACTTAACTCATTACTCATTACCAACTTACACATTTTATTACACTAATTTAAAATATTTTCTCAACTTTTTAACCAATTGATTTCTACCTCGTATATATAAACTTTATTTTTTTGAAAAAAAACTAGTCAAAATGTTAAATCAATTTGTATGACTTGCAAACTTGTTATGTAATTAATCATAATTGGTAAAGTATTATAGCTAATAGTAATGGTGATATCAATATTTGCAACCAAAAGACACCGTTAATTGTTTATTTGATATTTAGTATTAATTCAGTAGTAATTGGATTAAAGTATCTCGTTTAGTATAACCATGCAAATCTGGTATTTGGCGTGTGGTAATTGGCAAAAGCATAGTGATAAAAGGAGTTATTTCAAAATAACTCATTGCCCAAATAACTTTAGTAAACTATTGCCAAACGAGTTATTTGTAAAATTGTTCGAATTATCCTAAAAATTGAACCATTAAAGATTAGCTATCAAATTTAGTAAAATTATTGTGACTTCAATCTTAACTTACTCAATAACATATATCCTATACACTTAGCTTTACCCTCAATCAACAATATTAAGTTAGTATATGCTGTTGATTGTATACCCTAAACCATCAATACATTATACACTAACCACATAACCTATACCCTAACCATATGTCCTTGAGTTGTGATTTTGCTAGTATAGTTAATTTAAAAGTGAAATTCATACTTTGATTTTCAAAACATAGATAAAAAGTGATATTTGCTAATTGTAATACCCTAACCATATATCCTATACTTTACACCACATACCTTGTACCCTAACCACGTACCATAAACATAAATTAAAAAGGGATCTCCTGCCGTTAAAGACTTCAAATGACTTCAAGTGAACATATGTTAATAAAAAACTTAGAACCGTCAAGACCATCAATATCTTATACCCTAACCATATACACCATAAACCATATGTACCTTATACCTTATATCCTAACCATATACTTTATATCCTAAACAACGAACCGTCAAAGATTACTTATCAAGTTTAGTATAAATTGTTGTAACTAATGGTTAATTTATTTATTAACCCATAAAAAATTACATACATATATACATATTAGCCTTCAAAGCATATAAGAATAATTTTAACTAGTCATGCCCTCCATATAAAAGTTAAAGATTCATATTTCAAAAGCTAAAATTATGAAAAACCAAAAAATTGAAAACACCAAATTTGTTTCCTTCTTTCTTTTCACAAAAATACTAAAATTTCCCTCCTTCTTTTTCCTTCCATACATTAGAAAAACTCAATTTTCCCTCCTCTTTCTCTTCCATAAAATTGAAAGAACCAAATTACCCTATTTTTTCCTTCTACAAAAAGTTGAAAGTCAAAAGTTTCCCTCCTTATTTCTCTTTCATAATCAAAAGAATCAAACTTTCTCACTTCTTTCTCTTCCCACATAACAAAACCACCAAAATTCCCACTTATTTCTTTTCTAAAAAATTCAAAGAACCAAATTTCCCTCTTCTTTCTCTTCCCAAAAACTTGAATACACCAAAATTTCCCTCTTCTTTTAAAAACATCAAATTACCAAATACATTACTTTACTTTATTTATATTAATTGATAATTTTATTGAATAGTTAAATTAACCAAAATTTTAATTTATATATTATATTAATATTGTCATGATCTCAAGTGTCCTTCATGTTTCAATTTTTGTAATTTTCTTAAAATACGTAATATCAAGTGAGTTTCATATTTTTAAAATTTCTTATACGAAATGAAAAAATAATTTTACTTAAGTTTAGAATGAAAAACTTTATTTTGAAAAAATATGTATTGTATAATTTTATAATTATTCAAGTGGATTAGATGAAATTCGGGTTGAGTCGGTCGGG